AGTTACAGCACTCATCAGAGCCTGCAGAGACATGGATAGACAGATGCTTTATGTATGTAATCATAATGTTATTCAAGTATCTCATATACCGGCCCTGAACATGATACAACAGTGCTAGCAGAATAACTCCCCATGCTGGTAACTTAGAGATTTACTAAATCATTGAAAAAAATATATATTTTGCATACTATTGTAAAGTAAATCTGTGATTTTTTTTTTATTATTTTATTGTATTTTTTTGCACCTTTCGCTGCACAGCCCATTGAAATCTGCGGAGCAACTGTCATATTCTATTATGGATGCTAAATGTACAAGAATTGATGTGCCTTTCTACCTAATGTTGTTAGAGAAAACCTGGTTTGTTTTTTTAATGAACAGTGTCACAGTTTATCTGTCTCCTTTTGACGTCTGAAACAGTGGCAGCTGTTGGTGGCAGCTTTCATGAAAGTAGGGGCACACAATTAACAAACACAATTTGCATGAGGTCCAAAAAGAGAGAGAAAATATCCTCTTTTGAGAACGTGTATTTTTTTCCACTTTCAAGCACAGATGTCCTGTGTATTATTGTATTGTGAAGGGAACGACCTAGCTAGGCTAATCCTAACAGATAGACTACTTACAAAAAGTAAATGTTTAGAAGTTCATTTTTGATTCAGGAAAGGATATTTCATTTCATTGTACAAAATGAAACCTATTCAAATAACGAAATGTCTGTGGAAGCTGGGTTTTCTTCTGAATTACATTCTGTTTCAAACAGAAAATAAATAAATAAATACATATATAAATAAATAAATATTTTTGCATGGTTTTTTTCTTTCTTTTTTAAGATTTTTCTTCAATTTTGTGAATTGGAGACTTGGAGATTTTCTATACAGATATTTCAATTCTATTTCTTATATGATTATAAATGTTTATATATTATCCCTTAAAGATATTACAAATGAGATGCTTTATAAGTATATTATTAAGACAAAATTACTTTAAATTTAAGATTATAGGTGGATTCCCTAAATGATTACATTGAAGTTAATCTTAATAATATTGCAAAACCAATTATATATCCATACAGCAATCTGAATTGTGTTTGATAGTAAGTGTAAGAATGACTATATAGTGTACTCCAAAGAAACTGAAAAAGTTAACCATTAGATTTTTTAAATTTAAATCATAACATAGGGGGCTATTCACTAAATAGTGAATTGCAATACCTAAGTCAAGTGGGAACTTCCTCTTCACCTGTCTACATAAACACCCTTCCAGATAGGGTCTAGTGCAGGCATAGGCAACCTTCAGCACTGCAGATGTTTTGGACTACATCTCCCAGCATTATGGGGGATGTAGTCCACAACATCTGGAGTGCCGAAGGTTGCCTATCCCTGGTCTAGTGTATTCCATATTGTTATCTTTCAGGGAGTGTGTATATGTAGACAGGTGAAGAGTGCACACTCACCTGGCCATGGTATCACTATTCTCTACTTTAGACTCCATACCTAGCTACTTACAAGCTCCTTGTAATCTCAAGGCAATGGGTCTTTTTAGCTTTTTTTCCAACCTTGGCCTAAATCTAACTGTTTTGGATAATCTTTTCAAATGATGTATCTACAGAAGTCACCATTAAAGTCTATAGACATTTTTGTAGATAAATACATTGAAAAGTATTTCCAACAGATGGTGATAATTTTTTTCCCAAAAATATTTCTTTTTGGTGACATTCAATGTAATGGTTACATGCAAGACAAAAGATAGCAGTGCTTTTTCTGTTGAGATATGAGATATATAGGGCTGTACAAACATTGTAACATTACAGTAGATATCAAGCTTATATCTGCCTCAAAGTAGTGTCCAAAAAGTAGTGTCACAGTTTTGTAATTTTATAAAAACTATAGCGTAACTCTTGCTTCACATATAATGCAATAGGTCACATGGACAAATCACCTATGCTTAGGTTCAAGATTATAGACTCCTCAATGTTATAAGGGTTCTATGTCATTATGGATTCTCTTGAGCAAAGAGCTGCTGTTGTAGTCATAATTTGTTAAGATAAGATAGGTTAGAAAGGAGGAAGGTGTTGGGGATAAAATCAGCCTGGGCCCTTTGTGGATGATGGATATTTGCCAACTCATACAGAGCTCTGGAAATTGGAAATGAATAGCAGAGACGTGTTCAATAACCAATTCAAATTGTATTCATACGTCAGTTATATTTATAACCCATTTTCATAGCAGGATGGGAGGGGGAAAAATGACCATATGGGCGTGACAATGACATTGTTTTTCACAAGTTATAAACAGCTGTTTTTAGTTATAATTCGATGTTACATAATGTATGCATATTGGATAAAACCCAGATGATTACAAATACAGAAATCTTGGACAATTAACAAGGTCATTCCAGAATCCTTATCATGTCATGTCATGTCATGTAAATAACAAAATCATGTTCCAATAACATTTCCCGTAAATAGATAAGTCATTGTGACATGAGATACAATTCCAAATTTATTCTTGATTCAAATTAACCCTTACATGAACAGTTAGGATATAGAGCAAAATGGATATTCGCATCTACAATTCCCCTCTTAGATCATATCATGATCTACCTTATGGAATATCCATGGGAGGCCTGCGGCAGAGAAACGAAAGGAGGTATATTCAGACGTGCTAATCACGTCTGCGGGACTTTCCTTATTTCTTCACCTCGATTTCCCCCATTTGCTCTATGCCGTAGGTTTTCCCTTTAAGAGGAGATCGAGCTGTCGATTTTCAGCTTCTGTAATCATCTGTTGTACACATCTTTTAAGTGTACAAGTTAAATATTTCAAACAGCTGACATCTTAACCAATTTTAAACATACTGCACATCATGTTATCTGTAACTTGAGCCTTGGATCAAAACAGGCAAAGTGTATTATTCCTAACAACGGGAATATTATTATTATAATTCACAACGTAAACACATATAATCAAAAATGGGAATAAAATCTATTTCCCCTCTTTGGACCAGGGTCTTGGATTACCAGTCCACCCAGTGAACTTGGGCCAGGTCAAAAATCCCAGTGGCAAAAACTCATAATTGAGAAAAAAAGCACATCTGGGTAAATTCTAAGTGAGGGCCATGACTGTGTAAACATGTCATCCCCTCACGTTGACAGCATTAGTGACTTATAAAACCTGCACTATGTAAGTAAATAGCTCAGGTATCGGGATTGGGAAACACTTCTTGATTAGTTTGAAAAGGCCCACTTACATATTAAATCATAAGATCATTTCTAATCAGTTTGCAATTCTAGCAATAATCCCAATCATGACCTTGCGTCCTATGCCTCCTAATCAAATCCCTATTTCGATAGTCCAGTCATATCCACACTTAATACATTGGAATCCATCCTTGGTACACTCAACATACATCAATGACACACATAGTACATCCATGCCTGAGTAAGCTAACACTTCCTCTCTCTCCGGCTAACTCTACAAAAATAAAAATAACAAAATAGTAGTCCAGCATAGTCCAGAAAAATATTATAAGTCTTTCAAGGAGTATAAAGAATCTTAGACACCATAAACTTTGTTCCATAATCTTAGACACCATAACATAGCTAAGGGTAGCAATATGGCTGACAACAAGACAATGTCAGCTTCCACATAGTTCTTAATTCTTCTGTTTGCTGGATGTTCACCACAATACTCTGTGCAACACCCCAATTGTTGAAAGGGTAATACAGAAATAGCGGCATTAGACAGCACTGCATCTTCAGGACTTTCCAAGTTAGTTTATGTCCTCATAAGTAAGCATCTCAGTTTCTTCGGCCAGCATGGTTTTTGACCAAACAGATTTAATTGCAAAAAAAAGGTAGGTCAGCCAGAGAGATTGGTGTGTAGTCCCAAATATCAGGCAGCACAAATACTCCAGTACGGTCTCTATAATCATACAAACACAAGGATCAGTACGACATCAATAAATTAATTATCTAGGCTAAACTCAAATTAGAGACTAAAGTTAAACTCTTAACTAGTGTAACATGTACGTCTCTCAGTTTTGTTTATGTCCTTTATAAAATTTTAATACATAATTTCCCTTTAGAATGCCTTGTATGGATGAGAGAAGCACTCATTCTATATAAATGCTTGTTGAGTACTAAAACACTAACATATACATATTGGTATAATTCCCAATAAAATGCTGTTCTTAAACTTAAACCTTGATTTGATAATCTCAATTAATTACTTTAATAAAATTTTGTGGACCCTGATAACATCTTTGGAAACCGAAACCTTTTATAGATCCCGATGTGTGTGATCATGTTTTAATACATGTTGGAACCTCCATACAGTTATCCCACTTAAACAATATATTTTTTTCAGAACAACTAGGAATGAAATAGGAGAAACAAAATAAATTACTATTGTTCTAAAGTGCTTTGTTTAATACAGGTTTAGGAAGAGTTGTCTTGCTGTGTTGCAAGTGGCCTCTGATAAGGAAGGGACAGCAAACTGTAGACATATGTTATATTAAGTTGCTCTCACTTGTCAGGTCTTGGAAACCCACTTAATTTATTGCAGATGCCTCTATTATACCACTTTACAAATTGACTAAGCATACTTATTATCCTATTTTATTTTAGTTATTTCACATTGCACAGCCTATGCAAACAATGTCTAGGTCCCAACTTCAACTTGTACATCCTCTAAGAGCCAGCATTAATACTGTTTTATCTATCAAAACTATATATAAAGTATTAAAAACATGAACCATCTGTGTATTAGGCTGAGGTTGTTGGGTGTGGGTATAGCTTGAAAGTTGTGGTTGGTATTGAGGAACCTGCCAGGGTGGGAGTCCTTGAATGCCAGCTGGGCCAGGAGAACACAAGCACCTTGGGGTGAATCCCTGCTACCCACAATTAAAACAGTGCTGAAGTTACCATCTCTACAAAAGTTAAATCCTTTGATCAAATTCTCTACCTCTGCCTCTAAAACTTTTCTGATTCAATCTATCACCTCCAAACTTTCTTTGTCTCGCCTGCTTAAGATCACAATCCTTTTGTGACCGATACAACATACTTTTCCCTCTTTCTTTATATCCAAAACAACCTGCTGTATCTTTCTCATGAATCTTCCCAAGAAATTCAGTTCAAAGAGGGCCAGTCACAGACCAACAGTTTGACCAAAAGTGAACAAGGAGGAAGCATATTCCATATGAAGGTCGAGATGACTTAACTCACACCCCCTCTTTGTGTACACCTATTTGTGTACCACACAGATATAATATTAATAAGCTTTTGAAGATTTATTGTGTTTGTATAGCACGGTTGTCTAGGGGTGTATACATAAACAGTGAAAGCAGAGTCTTCATATGGGGTTTGCAATACTGACAGTCTGGGTCATAGGTGTAATACAGACATGCGGTTAGGAACTTTTCCATTGTCAGAACACTAATATATTGCAAATATTAAAATCATATTGCAGCTGTTTCCTATACCTGCAAGGATATGGTTTAATACTTCAATTGAGTTCAAATTGAGTATCAAAAATTCTAACCACAAAAACTAAATTTTATATGCTTATCAAAATGAGTTTAACCCCTTAGTAATTTAATAGGGTGACCTCTTCCCATAGTATGGTTCCTTTTATTATTATTATATTATTTATTCTCTTCTGGGTCTGCAAAATGCTTTCAATATACCAATACAAATATAATACAGTAGTTTAGAATTGCCTCAAAAGAAATTATCTGATCTCTATTAAAAATACCATTTCATCATTTTCCTATAATCAATGAGGCATACTAGATGAATCTTAATCTTGGAAAAAACCTATCCTATACATCCATAATTTTTCTTGTTATATAACCATATAACGTAACACATTTTTCTTTTCTTAAATAATGCAATGCACTTTAAAAGTAGCGTTAACTCTAAATACTCCCCTAATAATACTGAAACGTGGATCCACGATTTTGAAAAGCAAATGATATATTTTTTCTTTTTCTTTCCCAGGGACCCCTTTCTTGTTGGCTGATCAGCGTTTTTTTTAATCTGTTGTAAAAAGACACTAAAGGCTTGCGTTAATGACATGCAAATATTCTTTAAATATTCTTCATACTCATTGTAATATCACACATCATCTTATAGCACAGAAAACATGTAGCAGATATCCAGCAGACATGCCAATACAAAAAGCATATTCATGGACAGGCAATTAACTCAATCCAAAATAAATTGATAAATGTCACACTATGTGACAGACATAATTTGGTTCTCATGTTTGTGCAATATGCATGTCTGCAAACAATGCAAGCAGTACTGCTTTAAGATTAGATCAGAGCACCTGGCAACTGGACAGGAAAGTCAAATTTTGGCAGGAAGTCCATTATTGCAACAGAATTTTGGAAATCAGCTAAAATTTACAAAAACAGACTCCCTCTTTTTTTTCTTTCTTAAGACTACAACTCATATTGCTCTTGGACAAGTATTCAATAATAAATCAGTTATTTAATAGATTATTACGCTGCCATTTTCATCTGTATCAATACTAAGACAAACTTATTCAAATATAATTTAAAATAACACAGCAAAATACCCATTAACATACATGACAATTAAACTGCACACTTCAAAATGAGTAACCAAAACAAACATTTATGACAATCATCATTCACACAGAATAAACTTCTAACAGCTGCATTCAGAACATATTATTGTAAGGTATACCAATTTTAGTTTGTATTGGATTTATTTAAGATTTCTGGTACCAAAGGGTTTATTTTTTATTTTTTACAGAAGGGATCCCGTACGGCCATATAACGCGTTTGACTTAAACATTTGTATAACACTTGCATTAACCAGTTGCGACATATGAAACCTGTCAATGGAATTTCTCTCTTATACGCTTATAGAACATTTGGACCAGATTACACAGACATGGTATCACCTGCATTTGTCAGAACTCTCAAAGACTCAAAATATTTATACTACTCCATGTTAAAGGCATGGCAAAATTTTGACCGGTCAATTTGAGTTTCCAAAAGTCATATCAACACAGGTAAAAACCTTTGGCCATGGTTTTCTGATCCTATATTCCATGACCAAAATTTCAAACCCACTTCTTCACAGTTTGGGTCGCAAGCAATAAAATCTCAGCAACCCCATACAACAATTTACAGAATACATACAATTTAAAGCACATACAACATGTGACATACTGGAATACTACAAGTTAGCTTACAGCACAATATGAAGCATGTGTTGGAACGCTGAAAATATACATTTTGCTCTCTTCTAAATTTACAACATAAGTTCTCTGCAACAAACACACAGGGCAGAAAGAATGTGGTGTTTGACGTTTTGAATGAAGTGACTTTTTGTCCCAATATGAAAATAAAGGGCTCATCATATAAACAATCATACATCCCACTCTCATGAAAAAGTGTAGTGGGCTTATAGTACTTTTGACCAAGTATAAAAATAAAGGGCTCATTATGCAAACATACATACATGCAGAGAAATCATGTTAGTTCTAGAATTTGTAGCCCCCCTTAAATAACCTCTATTATTCATCATCACCTTTACATGTACTTTTTACATTCCCTCAATTAAGACTTTATGCTTAAAATCAGCGTTGCACATCATAAAATAGCACATAAATTAGCAAGCCGGAGTAATGCCAAACATCCATCATACCTTTTAACCCCCCTTTTTTTTTTTTAAACCATTGTAGTCTGCAAAATTGACATCTACGTTAAATAAATACCATAGTCCACCAAAGACTGGAAATCTGTTTTATAACCTACCAAAGGCAACCTCTACCAAAGAGGGATCTAGGGACGTCTCCCATATGTAAGTGTACATCACAGGTACATCACAGCCTACCAAAGGCTTGAAATTATTTTTAACACCTGGCCAAAGGTGAACCTCTTACCAAAGAGGAAATGTGCACAATAACTACTACTACCTACCAAAGGCAATCCTCCAACCCGTGGAGTAATAGAAGTCTACCTAAGACTTAACAAAATACCATGTCTACCAAAGACATTATCCTGTGAAAATCCCCTTTAAAAATGTAAATAGTGAAAAAACCCCATTAAAACAAGAAATGCAATGTGTGGGAGGATGGCAGAAGCAGGCAAAGGTCCCCAACCCCTTAAGGACACACGACAGAAATACTCCATCATGATACCCTTAAATTCCAGAAGTTGTGTCCCCAAGGGGCTAAAGACCCCCTTACCTGCAACCTCGTTCCTAATTGCACCCAAACTTCTGACACCAATTTGTTGGGGATAAAATCAGCCTGGCCCTTTGTGGATGATGGATATTTGCCAACTCATACAGAGCTCTGGAAATTGGAAATGAATAGCAGAGACGTGTTCAATAACCAATTCAAATTGTATTCATACGTCAGTTATATTTATACCCCATTTTCATAGCAGGATGGGAGGGGGAAAAATGAGCATATGGGCGTGACAATGACATTGTTTTTCACAAGTTATAAACAGCTGTTTTTAGTTATAATTCGATGTTACATAATGTATGCATATTGGATAAAACCCAGATGATTACAAATACCGAAATCTTGGACAATTAACAAGGTCATTCCAGAATCCTTATCATGTCATGTCATGTCATGTAAATAACAAAATCATGTTCCAATAACATTTCCCGTAAATAGATAAGTCATTGTGACATGAGATACAATTCCAAATTTATTCTTGATTCAAATTAACCCTTACATGAACAGTTAGGATATAGAGCAAAATGGATATTCATATCCTACAATTGTAAACCCAAAGAAATTAACTATTTTTACAGTTACTTTAAATACATATTCTTCAGAATTGGTGAATGTTACTAGAGTTTTTCAGATGCAATAGTCAGAGATACCGCTTTATCAGATGTCTTCAAAGAACTATGTTTAAAGAAACACTAAAGCGTTAGGAACATAAATTTGTATACCAAATGCTGTAGTTCTCCTATCCTTACTTGTAGGCAGATTTTCCTTCCCTGGTGCAAAAAAAATAATAAATAAAACAAATAATGATTTACTTATCATGTTCCAGCACCAATGCTCTCTCAGCACTGTTCACCCCTTCTCCCCAGGGGCCTTAATGGAGGAGGCACGGCCTTCTCTGGCATTGTGACCTAATGTGCATGCATGACAAGTGCCGCATGTGTGCTTGTAACAGTGTCAGTGTGGATAATAGAGTACGTAAGAATGTAGGTAACAGCATGTGTAGCAGTATGTGTTTAGCAATGTGGGTGTAGTAATTTGTATAGCTGTGTGTATAACAGTGTAGGTAGTACTAAGTGTATAAGACTGTGGGTGTAGGTATTGCTGTGGGTACAGTAGGGGTGTGTGTGTTTGTGTATATACTGTGCGGGTATGGGTAACTGTATGTGTGTGCTTTACACTAATTACTAGACATGGCGGATATTTTTGGTTCAACAGAATCACTTTTCATGAAAGTGCTGTAATGTAAAAATATCTACAATATTGCTTAGCCTAATCCATTATCAGGATTTTTTGCAATGCCAATACGGAGTTGCAAGTTGCATTATTATATTATTATATTCATATTAAACATAAAAATAAAAAAAACGGGAGACCACTTAATAATATAATGATGATTATTGTCTTTTTTTTCCAATATTGTATTAATAAATAAAAATGGGGAGTATCTGCAGCAGGAGTTGTTTTTCAAAAAATGCAAGGACGAAGTCAGTTGATAAACCACTTACCAGTCCCAAAAACTTATCCACATATCCAGTCTGTAGCATCTGTTATTGTCCTTCTGGTTTTCAGAAAAAAATTCTGCCCTAACAGCAGCAGGAATGAATTAATTTTAAAAGGGGCTTTTTCTAAAAATGAAAGGATGGAACAGGTCAGTGGGTCATTAACTGCCAACTCACTTTTTCCATTCATTTTTTTTTAAATCCCCTTTTTCAAATTAAGTTACTCCTGCTGCCCCTTTTCAAATGCCTTTTTATTGTAGTGGTGTCACAGTGCCTGGCTGTGTCTTGTGGCGCCTGTTATCTCTGCAGGTGCAGTTAGGAGAAGCTGATGGTAGGGTGTTTTTTTTTTTCCAATGAAGAATGGTCAATGATGCTACATACTGGATATACTGGAAGTATTGTTCTTCTCAGGTTAGGATGCAAGTGGGTCATCAATTGCCCATGCCCATTTATATTTCCTGAGAAAATGTGTGGGAAAAAAACTGTGCCCTATTAGGTTCTCCAAACTGCACTTGAAGAGGTGTAGCCACACTGCAAGACTTGGCCAGGCAGAGTGAAACCACTGCAATGAAAGGCATTTAAAAAACTGAGGAGCAGCAGTGTCATTTCACAAAAAAAAATGAAACGGAAAAAGTCAGTGGGCACTGGACAACTGTTGACCTGCTCACCCATTCCACCCTGAGAAAAACAAAGCTTCAGTGACAATCCTTAAGTTTGAGGAAGGCCAATATAACATATGCTGGTTCATATCAGCCCTTCACTCTCTTCCTACACGCTTCCTTTCCACACAATGTGCACTTTGCAAGACAGCCTTCTTGGTGGTACTCAAAGTGTTCTTAAACTTTCCTTTGCAGCAATGTATTTGCCTTAATTCTTTGCCTTTCAGCTGCTGAAGACAAGATTGAATTTGCATTGGTGGCAGTGGAAATGGTCTCCACAGTAACCTGTACACTAGCACTTGGTTGATTAATGCTCATAGAAATGTTGATGGTGCTGATACTGGTGATGTTGAGGTGGCGACAGTGGTGGTCACCGTGATGGTAACAATGATAGTCCTAGTGGTAGCTGAGGCAGGTGTCTCCTGATTGTCTCCATTGAATTAGCGAGTCAAAAACAGATAAAGATGGACTTTGACAAGTGTGCAAAGTTTCAAGAGGCAAGTGCAAACTAGCTGCCATGGAAAATAGTGTGCAGCCTGTCATCTCCAGACTCTCCTCTTGCATTTCCTCATAGTTGAGTTGCTTCTGAACCAGAGGTAAAAGTGCTATATCTGCAGTGGTAGGGGAAATACCAATATCTTCATCAGATTAATTAACACTAGCAATACCAGACATTTGGAACACTACATTGTTACTTTGCTCTACCTCTTTAGTAAAGAATGCCTCTGATAGAACCTAAAAAGCATGCCTATTTTAGTTACCTCATTGGAGATAGTCATTGTGGAACTAGCATAAGTAATTGTGGAGCTTGTGGTTTAATTTATTGGCCTTGATGCCTCTGCTGCTGCAACTACAGATTATTTTGCTACTGTAGACATTGAGTCACCATTTGCAACCAAAGACACCTAACAAAAAATACTGTACTGGGTAGTGAAACATAACACTCATGCACTAGTGATGGACAGTAATCAAGGGTGGATAGATTACTGTCCATACCCTGTAATTATTTTTATTTTATTATTTGTATAGCGCCAGCAAATTCCATAGTGCTGTACAATGGGTGGACTAACAAACACGTAATTGTAACCAGACAAATGGACGCACGGGAACAGAGGGGTTGAGGGCCTTGCTCAATGAGCTTACATGCTAGAGGGAGTGGGGTATAGGTGGGGGCTATTTATTCCTTATATTCTCAATGTCCCCTCCAGCCTGCACCCATTGGCAGTGGTGGTGTTCCTAATAAAAATAAACAAGTAGAGGGCCAGATGCCACCTTTCACCTGTAGGCAACAGCTGGAGGCCCTAATCTTAAAAATAACCATGGATGATTGCAGTGGCCCTAATAGCAATCTTTGAAAGGTTGGAATACCTAATGTCCAGCCACTTACTCTCTGGCCATGGGTGAAGGTCCTACCGAAGGTATAGTGTCCATTCCGGTCCCCACCCATGAGAGTTGGGTTGGGGTTAAATAAGCCATTATCACCTGGCCAATAGTGGTAAGTCTCCCCTTAGGTGGCTAAAAGTATCCAACCCCCTACAAAAAGTCCCTATCTGCCCCGTCTACCTTACCTCAGAAAATTGTCCGCATTGCAATAGCCATCATAGAGTAGGAAATACTTTATAAGGTCTCTCTCTGCTATCAGAGCTCAGTCTGCAGTGAGCTCTCCAGCCAGGTAAATACATACTGTTCCAAATTATTATGCAAATGATATTTTTCTCATTTACCTAAATAATTGATGTAAATAACAGTCAGCATAATTCTCATGTTATCAACTATTAAAGGTACAATTCAAATTTTATTGAACAAACCTCCTAGTGATAACAGTATTTTTTTTAAACATAAAAAACTTACAATGCACTGTTCCAAATTATTACGCACAGTAAGTTTCAAAACACTTTATAGGTTGTAAGAACTGAAAATTGTCGTTGTGTTTGCATCATATTTACTGAAATCAAAAGCTATTTCAATCAAACTTATAACAACATTTTAACTTTTTAAACATTTTAACAGGTCACGTTACATTTTAACATAGGGCCCCTTATTTTATAGCAGCTTCACAAGTCTTGCATCCATTTTCTGTTTGAATTTGTTTGCAGGATGTCAGAATAGTCTCCCAGAGCTGCTGTTTAGATGTAAACTGCCTCCCACCCTCATAGATCTTTTGCTTGGGGATGCTCCAAAGGTTCTCAATAGGACTGAGGTCAGGGGAGGATGGAGGCCACACCATGACTTTCTCTCCTTTTATCCCCATAGCAGCCATTGATGCAGAGGTATTCTTTGCAGCATGAGATGGTGCATTGTCATGCATGAAGATGATTTTATTACCGGAAGCATAGTTCTTCCTTCTGTACCAGGGAAGAAACTGGTCAGTCAGAAACTCCATATACTTTGCAGAGGTCATCTTTACACCTTCAGGGAACCCTAAAGGGGCCGACCAGCTCTCTTCCCCTGATTCCGGCCCAAGACATGACTCCACCACCGCCTTGCTGACGTTGCAGCCTTGTTGGAAAAGGGTGGCCGTCCACCAACCATCCACTTCTCCATCCATCTGGACCATCCAGGGTTGCACGGCACTCATCAGTGAACAGGACTGTTTGAAAATTAGTCTCCATGTATTTTTTTGCCCAATGCAGCCATTTCTGCTTGTGAGTATTGGTTAGTGGTGGCCGAATAAAAGGTTTATGCACAGTTGCAAGACTCTGGAGGACTCTACACCTTGATGTCCGTGGGACTCAAGAGGCACCAGCAGCTTCAAATATCAGTTTGCTGCTATGTAATGGTATTTTAGCAGCTGCTCTCTTGATCCGATGCATGGATCTGGCAGAAATCTTCCTCAATGTGCCTTTATCTGCACAAACCTGTCTGTGCTCTAAATCAGCCACAAATCTCTTAATAGTGCAATGATCACCCTTAAGTTTTTGTGAACTATCTAATGTTGTCATACCTCGTCAAAGGCGTTGAACTATTTCACTCTTTTCGGCAGCAGAGAGATCCTTTTTCTTCCCCATATTGCATGAAAATGATGCTCTGCTTAATAATGATGGGTGTCCGAGATTGTTTTCAGTGATCAAAAGAGCCCTGAGACGCAATGCCATCCATGAGTTAAACTGAAAAACAAAATATTTAATCTTTGTGACACTTAAATAGAATCTGCATAATAATTTGGAACAGGGTGTAGTTGTTCAACTTATCATTCACTTGCATAAAAGCAAGTGAATAATAATTTGCAAACATGCATTCTGTCGAATGCATTCAGCCTCACATTTTATTATTATGCATGCTCTGTGAATCTTCTGAATTCTATACTTTGTATAGGATTCTGATGTGAAAGTTCAAATTTTAATCTGGACACCAAACGCATCAGTGCGGTTTCTGCAGATATGCTCTGGCTGACCAAATTCTGACCGCATTTGACTTTAGTAAATCTGAGAATTGTCAATGCAGTCAGAACTATTTTCAAATTAGCATTTTTTTAAATGATCTCTGACAGTGCATCCTTTTTATTGTTGTAAATATGCATATCCCAGGCCTATTCTGATTTTAGTTTCATTTAGATGCATGTCATGGTCTTACTAAATGAACAGAAGTGTGTGTTACAAAATATGTAAAATATCTTCTCACTCAAATGCTTGCATCCCCATTTTCCCAGTAACTGTCTGTAAAAAAAGTAGCTGTCTGTGATCTCTTTGAATGTGTGATGGGAGGAGAGGATCAAGGTCAGGGGTGCCCAAAAGGTAGATCCCCAGATGTTTTCAAACTACAGTAACCATGGTGCATTGCCATTTTAAAGACATGCAAAGCATCATGGGAGTTGTAGCTCTACAAAATTTAGGGATCTACCTGTTGAGCAACCCTGATCAACTCAAATAATTGCTGTACCATTAAAAATAAACAATGCAAAACCTATATAACCATAGTTATACATCCTTTCCAAAAAGCTTCTTATTATGCAGCACCAGTAACATAGGTGATTTTAGCTCCTCATTTTGCTGCCAGTTCCAGGGAGCATTCACAGATGCAGT